ATCGCTTAGGCGGTTACAGCGCCAAAAAAGAAGAAGAAGAAGAAGAACAGATGGGTTGATTACTAGTTGTATTTAATGAGCTGCTCTAGGTTGCGCCAGGTTAAGGTATCTCACAAAATTGTGTTTCATGAGGATTTCTCTTGCTCTAACTTACTCTACTTTTTGTTTCATGGGCATGCGCTAAGTGGAACTGGAGCAACTTAGAGCACGATTTTCTGCACCAACTTTTTTAATGGAATAACTTAGAGCAAGCAACCACACTTTGCAATTGAACTGTCGAGCAATCAACTGTTTTGAGAATTTATGCCTGAAAAGTGTTTCATGAGATTTATGATCTGAGTTGCTCTAACTTGCTCTATTGTTTTTTTGGCAGGTGCTCTATTCTGATCTGACTTGAGCTACTCTGAACTTTTTTCGGTTTCATTAAACACAACTATTATTGCAATCAATAGTTCGTTCGATTGTTCTTCATTGTTCGTCCATTTTTAGCGTTTGTTCTTCAGCCAAACATTTATAATTAATTTTTTACATTTTACAGTTTCTGCATTTAGCACCCCAGGTGTAAGGATTTCATTATTTTAATTGTATAACGTTTATTCGTCGTTTTTTCATCCGATTTAACTAAAAATTTATTTTTTTATTAGGTTAGGTGCCTACAAAAATGATCGATCAAATAAAAGGATGAGTCATGTGAAATATTTTTGTTAGTACATGCTTATCTGGGATTACAAAATAGAAAATTAATTTGAATTCATTTTTTATGCGGTTTGTGTCATAACTAAATTGAATATATATTATAAATTAAAATTTGATTTCCTTCCTCCCTGTGTTTGTGCCAACTCCAATTCCGTATCCTTAGTCCTATTTTAACTTTGGCAGGTGTTTACTGCTCGTTTTTCTGCGCTGCGGTTCTAGTGAAAAGTTTTACTAAATTGTGAGTTAAATTAAGTATTTAAGTGCAAAAAGTGTATTGTAAAGTTTTTGTAGTGATGCCGTTGTCCGCCGCGGGCCATCGTCCATATGTATGTATGCTTGTGTTCATAAACATGTTACTGATGAGGTCACGCATTTCTACACTCCTCAATTGCTTTTTAATTTGGTCAAAAGAACGGGTGAGTCCCAGAAAATATTACATATAGTTTAGATCAAGATAGTTTAATTTTAGCATTTTTATATGATGAAATGCTTTTTATATTTCAATACTATGTCCTTTTATTAGCGATTTTACTTGACTTTCGCGTATTTTTTGTACAGTAAATTACCACAACTTGCGTGTCACTGGAATTTTATAAGATGGTATATTTTTAAATTAAATTCTAAAAAAATATTTTTGAATCGTTTTTGATTTTGAAATTTACGTAAACTATTCGGGACATTCCAAAACTTCATAAAGTTTAATTTGTTTTCAAAAATATTAATACGATTTTTAGCAGCACGCTTCCAATGTTACAAAAAATTAAATGTACAATATATTGTACAAATGCAGGGAAAGGGTTAAAAATGATCATAATTGTGAAAAATTACAAATAAATTTTCGTTCAGAATTTTCACCATAAAAATGGTAAAATTTTGGAAAACGCATAGTACCATCGGATAGCCCGTAAAAAATCTATAGCAGTTATAGTTTTCGAACTATTTTTTACCATTTTCTGTCTAATTCCCAGCTAGTCGAAAAGTTGTTTGTTTCGCACTGTTCAGCTCGCTTGGGGCATTCGACGTGAATTGCCTCATATCTAAAGCTGCGACGTACTTTTGGCCATGGTAATGCTTTACCAAATTGTAGCAATGGTGGAAAAGCAGAAGCAAAACGAGTATATTCTACTATAAAGATTTTCTTCTAGTGTCAAGGCGTATTTTTTCAGTGTAGTACTGAATGATCAAAAGTGTTTGCATTCAGCCAAAATTTACAATCACGATGACTGCGAATGCTTCTGTTACATTCGCATTCCATATTGCATGGAACTCCAACATTCGATAACACATAACGTTTGTTTTTGTTTCAAAATAGTTTATGTCTCTCAGGAATGAGTTTTTTTATACAATAAAACAATCAAAATTTTGAAAAGAATGCCGAGTGAATGCAGATCCAGTTGATTCAACCATTTTACAGCTCTGTTTTACAAGCCGCTTGTGTGGTGTATTTCGCCCTTAAGGCCGACTGATGGGCAATCGAATGCTGCATTGAGTAAAATTAACTATCGAGCTATCGATAAATCACTTATTTTATTTCCACCAGATGTGGCACCACCATCTTATCTGCTTTTATCAGCTGTTCAGGCAAATTCAAGGCAAATTGTTTACTTCGCTTGGAAGCTATTCCTTCGCTTAATTATTACAATTCTCTTCATTATGTGCTTATCTGTCGTTCTTTGTTGACGCATTTGGAAACGTATACAAAATTCTAACATTTAGAAAAGTGATGTAAACTAATGAACGGACAGAGAAGAGCCGCAATTGTATGTGAAAAAGTGTACACGCGTCAAAGGCTCATCGGCGAACAGATGTATTAAGTTTCGGTTAGAAAAGTAAAATAAAATTCGTATTACCATACGCCGTATAAAATTGTAATAAAAAACATACAAAACATACGCGCTGAATTTTTGGTGGACGCAGCAGGTGGGCGTATGGTACACGCGTGGTGTAAATTTGACTCGGTGTTAAAATGGTTTTCTTTTGCGATTGCTTCAACGGTGGCTATCAACAGATAGATGCGGCCAGACAAGGTAAGTCCCATATCAACAGATATCAGTTAATGTAATTGTAAATTCCGTACTTTATTATTTGTTTTCAAATCGGATGTATCTAGGATCACGTCTAGGAGTACGACATCTGCAATGCTTCCTTGCCTTTTGCGGGCTGGCAATCGCTTATGCTTTGCGTGTTAATCTCTCTGTGGCTATAGTGGCGATGACAGATCGGAATGGAACAAATCCTGCATTTGAAGTGAGTTATTTATTTTTTATTTTCTATACACACTACATCAAGGATTATAGAATACAAGATTCTCTACCTCGTAAAACATACGTGTACATATGTGGCCATAGATTATGCTAAAGTAGATGTGCTAATCAAACAGTATCTATGCATATATTGTATTTACATATCTATTACATATCGAATTTGTAAAACTAAAATAACACCACCTTATCAATTGTTTTGTTGTTTTTGTTGTTCATCAAATGCGTCATCCCTGGATAAACGATATCTATCATATTTCAAACCTAAATTTTTTATTGAGTGTTTTGCACTATAAACTTACTGCATATGTAGTTATGTACATAACTACATAAGTATTCCGCAACACAGTACTACTCCACTTGTATGTACGTACATGGCTTGATTTCAGGAATTATAGAATATTTAGGTACATCTTGAATAAATATGTATTAATATTATTATTTTTTGTGTGTTAAAACAAGGCTGCATATACTACACTACTATATACCACCTATTTATTCATTGTCATACACATGTATATTTATGCGAACATATGTTGTCACAATATACCTTTGTATATCCCTTACAGGAATACGATTGGGATGAAAGCGTTAAATCTTATCTTCTCAGCAGTTTCTTTTGGGGCTATGTGGTAACACAAGTGCCTGGTGGTTATCTCGCTCATCACTATGGTGCAAAATATACCTTCCTCTTTGGTGTTCTCATTTGCTCTTGCCTCGCTATTTTGACACCCGTTTGTGCCAGAATAGGAGATTGGCCTTTGGTGCTAGCGCTGCGTGCCACTCAAGGTCTATCACAGGGCATGATCTTCCCATCGACTCACACATTCCTCTCAAAGTGGGCACCAGCTGAGGAACGTGCTCGACTTGTTAGCTACTGTTATTCCGGTTCGCAATTCGGCACCGTGGTTATGCTTTTCGTTAGTGGTTACATAGCATCTTCATGGCTTGGCTGGCCTAGTATATTTTATCTGTCAGGTATCGTGGGCATTTTATGGTCATGCGTTTGGTTTTACTACAGCTCTAGCACACCAAATGAACATCCATCGATTAGCGTAGCCGAGTTACGTTACATTGAGTCATCAGGTCAAACACGTCGTCCTTCGGATGCTGGGCGCACTTCACATGTTCAAACTCAGGCGCACAAAGTGCCGTGGGCTAAAATGTTCACTTCGCCGCCATTTCTCACGCTAATTTTCGTACATTCTGCAAATAATTGGGGGTTTTGGACTTTACTCACCGAAATACCGACATACTTGAAAAATATACTCGGCGTGGATATACGCAATAATGGACCTCTCTCCGCGCTGCCATACCTTGCGATGTGCCTGCTCTCATATGGTTTCATCTT